CGTTTAATACTTATTGTGCGTTTTTAGGACACAAAGAATAAACAGAATACGAAGATAACATTTGCATGGCCGTGGAACTTTTACATTGACGTTAAACTTTTATCAGTGGCATTTAATTATAGGCTAATGGAGGGAAATACAAGCTCCCTTTCGGAATGCAAATGACTGAACAATTTTTGCGCTAACAAATTTTTATTACTAGTAATGATCTACTCCTTATACGGAATTAGAAACTGACTATTTTAGAGTTGTTTATCAGCATGCTCATGTCCTCGTTAACGCAAAAACTCTCCTATTGTGCGTCTTAGTTATATTATTTTTTAAATTCTACATAATAGAAGCATATTAATTAATATGTTTCTAACGCGTTAAAGTATTATCTTGTTAACAACCTTCTTGAAATTCTGGACTCAATCTATCGACAACATATTGACTTACTGTATACTAGTTGATGCCTCGCCTTCCGTCAGTCACATTATTTTCATCGGTTCCATAGCAATTTAATTTCTCATAATCTTAAGATTTCATATTTTAATTTACAAGTAACTGTTTCCTTCATTGAGAACATGAAATCATTTTCTATTATTATCACTAGACCGAAAAGATTCTTCTTTAATTTAATAGACAACAGCAAGAAATATCCCCTGTCCAGAGCAATCATTGACGACAGTGGGAATCATAATTATAGTTACACATAGTAATAATAAAGACATGAGCGATTATCGGGAAAATTTCCGTACGTAACTAAAATCCAATACAAGCTTGAAACGTAGGGACAATACTACACATGAGATTTAGTAATTGTTGTTCGTTTAATATTAACATACAATACATTTCCCCAGGAGTTTGCTTTAGCTAAGGTTACTCATTAAACGAGATGGTTTAGTTAATTAAATTACTTTGACTCCAGATTCAGTTTTCAAATGACAAGAGTTCGATCAATATTTTCCAACGCTTATGTCTCTCTCTACCACATTTGACCATGTATTTGGTGCCCACAAAGAGGCATGAAGGTATGCAATAATCTTAGCTTTAACTACAGATGGAATCATGAGTTGGGTCCTTGATTGTTATTGCGTCCCCAACAATAACAATTCATCCCTTCAAAGCAATCCCTATTACTATAAATAAATATGCGCACTTCTACCTCTTTTGGGTAAATGCTATTGAAAATTTGTACTACTGAAAACTAATCTAATGCATAAACTAAGGTTGTAACACAAACCATTACAGCGCGAGTAATCTAGAGCCATAATTATAATTATAAATGACAAAAAATTAACGCAACATTCATACTAATTCAGCAAAATGTGTGACGTATAATATGCGATTCGTGTAACCAGCATAAATATTGTGTGCTTGTTACATAGATTATCATTTTATATTGCCGAAGCTATTCAAGAGAAAGGGGTAAGGAAAGGGAATAGGAATGAAGGGGGGTTTTGTTGACGAGTACGGATTCCAACACCCGTGAAATTCCCGATTGTTTGTTCGAGAAATGTTAACCTGCACCTCGTGGGATCTTCGAACAATTTCTATCCCAATATGGTTAAGACAACCAAGACGCAGCGAGAAAACCACGTGAAACTTGAATCAGCCCACATTAACTATTGTCCTTTAGGTTCACACAGGCGCGGCATCTGATCGTTTGCACTGAGCGCCAGACTTGTAAAGTTTTGAGCGGAGAAATTTTACAAGCGCCTCGCTCTACAGAATTAATAATTTAGCTCCAATTCGAAAACTGTAAACAATATTCCCCTCCTATTTTGATCATAGAGTGTTACACGGTTCCAAATTTCAACATCAAACCCCCACACCTTGATCCATACGATTGGACATATTTAAGCACAGGGAATGTAAGGGAAGAGAATAGGAAACTAGAAAAGAATAGGATCATAGGCATTTTTATATAAAGCCATTAGGTTGCATAGTAAACAAATTATCACTTTGCTGTTCGCAGAAGAACCGATTACGTTGGTTAATCGGCAGTGGACTTTCGCCCAGTATAGAGATTTCCTTGACAGCAGAATTTTTGTATTTATATACCATTCGTAACATTGTAGAATAATAGAATTACAGTAATAGTTTTTTTTTTCATTAACTTTGTTGGGACAGTGAGCAAAGAAACACGGCTCTATTTCGAAAACGGTAACGAGCCGTTAAGACCATCACAAATTCGTCCGCCACCTCCAATTTTCGTCCTCTTATTACCACTTGACCATCTCCCTCCCACCACCCACCCACCTCCTAATACCTCGTCCAATGCCTGAGCAATTTGCAACAGCAGATAACGGCGGAACAGGGCAATATTTAGACCCGGCGTATGTCCGAATCGCTGGTCTCTTTGCATGGACAGCCACTGGGTTGTCTGTAATGGCCATATGGTCACATTTAAAGAACTATAGGAAACCGGTAAGTGGAGAAGGCGTGGAAGGAGCAAGAGGTGAAACGTTAATAGAAAGACACGTATACGGAAAGATATACGAGGAAAAGAAAGTCAATGTTTTAAAATAATAATTCGAACATACACATAGCCAAGTCTCATTACAAGTTTTCTAATTTCATTTCTCGAATAACACCCTTTGACTTTTTCAATTAGCGTCTTCAAAGATTTGTCGTAAGGATAATAGCAATGTAAGATTCTCATATAACATTCCCCGATTTTGCAACAAACAGTCACACGCTTCGCCGGTCCTAAATGTTTCACTTTTCGCAAGCATCAATTCATTCTTACAATTAACATAATCTATATTACACACAGGGTACCGATATATGCAATATCTTCGTGGATAAGTCTTATCTCATTACGCATGGCATTCTACTTGGACGCGGTTCGGGATATTTATGAGGTAAATTGAAGTAGAGAAATTTTGCCATTAGAATTTCGTACGAATATGGAAGGGCGAATGAAAGTATAAAGATAAAGAGAAATTGTCGATCCGTTTCATTCAACATTGGTTTTATGCGTTTTTGCCTTTTTTTTTTTTTACAAATATATAATCAATTCTCTATCCTGCAATATTACTCCCCTAAGGCTTTCGTAATGTATTGTTTCTTCAACCTGCTTATAAACTATCTCGGCGGTGATCGCTCTCTCTTAATCTCCCGTCACGGCCATCCACCTCTCGTCGCGACTGGCTTCATTCGCTTCTTCGTCAAAGAAATAGATATTTCAGATCCTCTGTTTTTTCTCTTTTTAAAACGAAGTATCCTCCAATATGTTTATATCAAACCGCTCTTAGCTGCAGCCACCATGATACTGAAGTGGAACGAGACGTATAATGATGGAACAATCTCGACAAAGAGCGGGTACTTTTGGATTGCAATGATTTATAATATTAGCTGTTCACTTTGTTTGGCCTGCTTGGTGGTTTTTTATTCGGTTTTGAAGGATGATCTGGCACCTTACAGGTAAAGTTAAGGGGCTGTGAGGATGGGACTGAGGTTAATCTTGTGATCGGGAAAGTTGGGACTTTCTTGTAATATTTCCAAACTTGGATATGAAAACGAACAAACTATCTAACATTCAAATGTTGTGTTTTTTTTTTTTTTTCAAAAACAAACAAAGGCCTTTACCTAAATTCGTCTGCGTCAAAATGATCATCTTCTTTTCATTCTGGCAAGGACTCGGTTTAGCAATTCTATCTTGGCTTGGAATAATCAGTGATAATAAAGATTCTGGGGATGGTATGTAACATGTGTTGGTAGATTGAATTAGACGCGTGAGTTAAACCGAAAGAGCATCAGAATTCAGTGGAAAGATATTGCGTCGAAGTTACGTTCGAGTCTACATCTGACGAAACCCTACATCATACTCTTGTCAAATTAATAGATGCAGGGCAATTGTCAGCTGAAAATCGATCCGTTGCAATTCAGGATTTTTTAATATGTATGGAAATGACGCTCGCTGCCATAGGACATTGGTAAGATTTTATCATCGATTCGTGCTTTTCCTAACACTAACGCTCCTCTGACTTTTTCACAATTTACCTCTTTTTTTTTTATATTTGAACACACTCAAAGGTACGCATACTCCTACAAAGACTACATTGATCCGACAATACAATCAGCTCGAATGCCAATTGCCTATGCTTTTAGAGACGCAATGGGAACCAAGGATGTGTTTGAAGACACGCTGGAGATAATTCATGGTGGAGGCTTTGATTACCGCACTTTTGAACCAGCCGAAGGCAGGCCACATACCGGTAAATCTCTCGCAAACCGCTTAAATGCCGGCATGCGCGTATATGGCGAAACGAAGTACTGGCTTGGCAAACGATCTAATTCCGCACTTTCCGATGATTGCCAATCTCTCCACTTTCCTGACTCTCTCGACGAAGACGACGAAAATATATACAAAATCAGTCGGCAATTAGGCGAGCAGGGGGATTATAATTGCCCAGTTATAAATGGGACCGAGGTCGTTGAGCGCACGAGACCGAAACCGAAACCCAGGAGGAAATTAACTATATCGAAGAAGCAAAAGGGAAAGCGGAATGTATTTTATCGGGAGAGTGATGAGGATGAGGAATATACGAATAATTTACTTGCGCGGAATGGCGAAAAGAAGGAGCGTCAGTTGAGCGAGACTAATGTACCGCCGTTTCGTACTGGCTGTGTAGATTTGATTGTCAAAGATGAAACAGGAAAGAGATTTGAGAGCTATGCCGATATGATTCCGTCAGCGTCAACTTCAAACGGGCGGCCATCTTTTGCGGCTATAAGCGTACTTGATCCTTTTGTCTTGCGAGTGCCTGGGATGTCAGATATAGGTATGGGACGAAGCGTAGCAGAAAAGGTTGTGATGAATACGGACCAGGAGGGGGAAGAGGAGGAGGAAGAGGAGAAGGAGGAGGAAGAAGAGCGAGAAAGATCTCAATATCCTCTTGGAGATGAACACGAGGAAGACATCTGGAAAAGGAACGTTTGGC